GAGCCACCGTCCCGTCCCGTCCCGTCCCCTCACACCACATCCCCTCCCCTCCTCTCCCGTCCCCTCACACCGCATCCCCTCCTCTCCCATCCCTTCCCGTCCCTTCCCCTCCCGTCTCTTCCCCTCCCTCCCCTCCGGCATCCCCTCCTCTCCCGTCCCCGCCCATCTCGTCCCCTCCGTTCTCTCCCCTCCCAACACATCCCTTCCCGTCCCCCCCATCCCGTCCTCTCCATCCTGTATTTCGTATGATCTGTACTATAAGTAAATTCACTAGAAAGGAAATGACAATAACTAGTTCTTCCAAGTGGTAACTAAACAATCCATTGTAAATAATAAAACCTTTATATTAGCACATGGAGTTTATTTATTTATTGCACTTGACTACATTGATACCACTCATGAGGAACCAGGGCACTGACTGATCTTACTTGGGTTCTTAAATAAGAAAAAAACACGCAAGATCTCCAAGTTCTCATATATTGATCTAACGGCTACATTCAGATATTGGAAATACATTGGCACGTAAGGGACACAGAAACTTCTAAAGCAAAGTATCATAATATCCCTTTTGGTTCTATTTTTCTGTGATTCTATGACAAGATAGTATTACTGAACTGGCTCAGGCCTTCAAACCTAGTAGAATTTACAGAATTCCAATATACTGAAAATAAAGCAGGAACTAACAAAGGACAAGTAGAAAAACGTTAGTTAGTTTCACAACTTCTTGAGCAAGATTGTTAAAATCCAGAGATGGGATAAATATAAAATTATCYTTGAAGCCTTTTAGTGTTTTGTCATAGTTTCTTTCTCTGCTCCATTCCAACAAACAGAAACGTTTGCTTTCAGTATCTTTCCATATTCACTGACATGTGGAATTAAACTCTTTGTTGATAATGTAAAGCTCAACTTTCAGAGAACTTTGTGTGTTATAAAACATGAGATCTGCCTGCTTTTTGTTCACTGATGCTGCAAGATGTAGGGTCTTAGCATTGGGCAACTCCAGGTCTGGGGGTCCTGCAGATGAATTTCCATAAAAAACCCATCATGACAGCTACAAAGAACCTGAAAGCTTCCTTAGGGGTAGTTGTTTACTTGTGATATATACACCAGTCTTTGAGCAGAGAGGACTATGAATGRCACAACAAAAACCTGCTTTCTGTAAGTCCTGTCCTTAATATTACAGACAARGCTACAAAAAAMMKTTTWAYCYWMMAWTYCYTTTWRRAAAAAAATTCAGACAGGTTYCTTTTAAAGTTYAGAGAAAAAATGACRGCAAGAAAAATAATTTGYTGCTTCCCTCAGACCTCTCTAAATGATTATGTGACATAAAGGTATCAAAAATTACCTATGTCATCAGGGACTAATCTACAGATTAAGAAGCAAAACATGTGAGACTATACCGGGCTGAGGCTTCTGATATCCATGCCTAAAGCCATGCCTTAGCACTTGGTTGAATGCACAAATATTTACAAGGTAGAAAGTAATAATACCATAGCCAGCTTTCCTAATAGCTAACAGAAAGTAAATACGTTTTTTATAACCCTAGAACAGGATGCAAACATAAGAAAAAGTCACATTACAATGAAAAGCTTAGCTTCTGCATCCCGCAGGAAAGAACCCGAATACAATTTGTGCATTGTTCTTCATTTTTCCTGCCACTCCTTGCTCTCATGCACAGGTAGTGCTGTGTGTCTTGCTACCACTGCAGAGAGATGTGGTTGTTCAAGCCCTGCAATTACTGGAATTCCCCAGTCTCCAAGAGATTGCCCAGCACCTGCATTACCTGCAGGCTGCCATAAGTCTTGGGAGTGACAAGTGACRGCAGGGCTTGAAGATGCCTAAGATACTGCTACACAGTATAGAAAGCAGTATCTACAGCCACAAATGAGCCCATGTGCTGTCACTGGACCAGCACAGGAGCCTGAAGCCTCCAGAGGAACTTCCCCTTCTGTTTGGTGTTCATTGCTGGTTAATGCAATGACAGAGTACACCATTTGCCTATTAGTATATTTATTCATTTCAAGGAAATCAAAATCAGCTTTCCTAAAAATAGTTAATTATAACCCATGCGTCAGAAATATGCAGAGTATGATTACCCACGTCACCTAAAATTTCCTGCTAAGCCCAGAGTGACCTTGAGGTAGCAAAGCCCACATGTGGCAGGTGAAAGGAAGGGAATGCTGTTTTTACAGTGGTGCAAGACATAGGTTGGTGCACATCATCTGTAGTAGTTCTCTACATTTGTATGAAAGCCTTATATCCAAAAATCTGGGAAAAATTATACAATCATAGCTGATAGAGTTTGCAAACATTACTTAATTTGCCAAACAGTAACTAAGTAAGGTCATTTTAATGGTGAAATAAACTGTGCTTACTTAGTTCATGGTTTAGATAGTTTTCTTTTTTTTTTTCATTTTGGAGGAATAAGAATTTAAAAAAATTCTGAAAGCATAAAATTTTTATTAAAAACGGTGCCCCTGATAAGAATTTAGGGATGGAAAGGAAGTGTTTTCTATCTAGAACAATGTGGTGCTTAGGATAGCAGATGAGGTGTCTGGATACAGAAACAGGAAACGAATTATGTTCTTTATAGTATCGGAAATCATTTGCACAATACTTACAAGCTTTTATACCTTGTTCTATATTCAGATTTGAAATTAGATTCTGTCAGGTTAGAGATTGTTCAGAAATGGGTTCAGAAATTGCAAGAATGAAAATAAATCCGTACTACAGAACTGAAGATGAAAACTGCTGTACTCACCTGAGAAAGATTATAAGATAACTTAATACTGTAAACAAGGATGAGAGGAAGATTTGGATGATATAGTACTGTTATTTAGCCTGCCAGAAGCAAAGGATGAGAAGGGCTATTTATTGAATTTTCTCGATGAAAACATAACTATCATGAAATCTAAGTTTTAAAATATAATGATTATATCAGAAAAATAAATTCAGATGTTTAGTCTGAAAATTGAATGCTTAGGAACTTTTTATTAATTATGTCTTTCTTCCTAAAGGATTATCAAACCTGCATGGATTTCAGCTCTAGCATTTCCTTCAGGCAGGTCATGGAATTATGTTGTGATGTACTTTAATTTCCTTTGCTCCTGCTGAATTCTTTGGGTTAAACTAATTATTATTAGTATGCAGCAATACACAGTGCATAGGAAAAAATTTACAACTTTTCTTGCCACCATTGCAAAGTATATAACTCTATGTTCAATTTACTCTTTAAAAAAAAAAGTCTCAAATGTTTTAGCTTATTTTTTCAAAGAGTCTAAATCTTAAAATCATAGGCAAAATTTCCTGTAGCTGATGATAAGTCTCCCAAAGGAATGAGTTTCAAATTGCTTGGCAGCATCTGTAATGAAGTATTTTTAAATATAGGTGGGCCACTATCTGGTATTGCTTTCTAAAAATAGGCTGAAGGAGGAAGAGAAAGCAGATATTTGATTAGGTCTCGGAAATTTATCACTTCTTGGGAAAGTGCACATATAAAAGTGATCATATATTTACCATGATTATTCAGGTCAAAGCCTAAACAGTTCCACAGGAGTAACAGCAGGGTTTTGATTTGAGAGGAATTATTATTTTGGTGAATGAGAAAGAGAAATGCTGTAATGGGATCCGGCTTTGCTAAGGTCTCAGTGTTCAGAGGTTTTGATTCTGTAATGGCYGAGTACCTTTGGTTACCTCTCAGTGCATAGCACAGCACTGATCATGAGTGTGCAGAGATCTGCAAAAGCTCCATTTGCTGTTCACACCTAAAGCACTGCTCAGCACGTTCCACCCCACTGATAGCAGAGAGGATCTCACATGCACTGCTGCCCCACCTAAAAATSACCTTGCTGGATAATACTGTCCACAGCTTAGCTATCAATATTTGTGTTCCATCAGAAAGGCATTTTTTCTAATCATAATACTTCCAAGGAATTCAGAGCTCTGGACTCAGTAATTTATCCAGGTCAGTGCTCTACAGAATCAAACATTTTCTCATTGCCAGCTGGAACAATTTCAGACATTTCTTTGGATATTACAAAATAACTGCATTTACATTGAGTAGGCTTTTTTCCCCCTCCACCTAGACTTGAGTTGCACAACATAAAGGCACCATAAAATATTTGCTCTCTGGTTCCACATAAAACAGTTCCTCTTTCTCTGG